TTGAAAAAATAGAAGGTCAAGAAAGTCGCAGGACCTGGGAGTGGGTATAGACCGGTATCAGAATGACCTCTAGACGAAGCCGAATAGCAAAAGGAAAAACAAAAAGTAAACGTGTGTAATTTACAAGGCTTCCTTACCTTAGAAAGCCTTCTTTCTCCCCTGCCGACGTGACATCTGAATATATTTTGTTGCCGGTAGTTTTCGCCACGTTTTCCTTTTTTGCGTAGAAAAAAGCTGCGCAGTCAATAATACATCATATTTGGCCTTGGCGTTTCCAGAATTTCTAGGATTGTTTCTGTCCTCGCTCCTCCACGTGTTTACCGAACACTGAGCTCGATTGTCGATTGTCAAGTTACGTATAGATAAAAACAGCTTCGGATAGGCAGCCTAAGCATGTTGAAGATTGACTAGAAAGTGATGGTCTGTATTTTGTTACAAATTATTAACCTCAATGGTACGTGTTTGTCATAAATTAGCATGGATTAACGAAGTTTACATGCCAAATTTAGGTCAAATTTAGGTTTGAGAATGGTAAATCAAAAACCCCCAGCACCGCAAACAATTTCATTTCACCAAACACCGCAGTGTGAAAAACACAAACATCGCACATCATAGGGTTTGAGATCACCGCAACACCGCAAGTAGACATTTTATTCACCGCATCACCACATTAAAAAACATCAACACCGTAACACGGCAAATCCCCATGTCCTCCTCAAGATAGATAAAAGACAAGTTAGATGTTATCAGCTGAAGCTGAAGGTTGATAACACTTACCAAGACCTTGATTGTTCTGGATATCAATAATAGTTTTATTCTACATAGTTGCAAAGAACTTCAAGATGTTATTAATCCAAAGTCATTCCACAATTTTCAGGTTTAAATGGTGGAAGAGTTCTTTGCAAAAATTCAGGATCTTTATCTCACAAGCCAGAGAGACGTCCGTGTAGATGCCAGCCTGGTTTTGAACTTAAAAATAATGGTGGAAAACTGGAGTGCAAAGCATGTGAAAAAGGTCTGAAGTCATCTGGCTTGAAATGTGAGGGATGTGTTGCTGGTCATGTGGCTTTGGCCGGTAAACATTACTACATATGGAGGAACAATACTTTACCCGATGGTTTCACTGCGAAATGCGCAGGAGATTGTAGTGTTAAGGTTGGTGTCACCTTGTGACAATTAACACTTAATGACTGGTCCTGAGGGGAACAGTGAATTTTGTTTCCCAAAAATGAGGGAAACAAAATTCACCGTTCCCAAGGGACCAGTCGTTAAGTTATTTGTTAAAATTATATAGCAATACTATTAAATAGGTCAAAAACAAAAGCAAATTTTGAAAAACGTGCTGAGATTCCAGCGACAACATTAGGCCACCTTCAACTGCATGTTCTGATCACGTGCAACAGTGGTCAACATTTCGCGGGTAACAGTGAACTGTTTCCGTTTGACGTCATAGCTTTCGCAATGTTGCGTGCTCGTGGCATTTGGCGGGCCTTTTGGCGGTAAACAGTTTCATTGTTAGATGTCACTAGCCAATGAATGGGCGTGCTTTAGCGGGAAAAACGCCAGCTATATAACAAGTTATCTTATGTTGAAGCCCTATTAGGGTTTTTCGGGATCTAAGATATTTAGGTAAAACATTTACAGGATATATGATATTTTGGGGAGGGGGGAATAAATGGGGTATGGGATACTTAGAACCAGGATATGGAGTAGAAAAATTGTTAACTTTTGTTAGATTAAATTACAGTGAAACCTGTATTAAGCGGACCCCATATTAAGCGGACACCCTCTATTAGTCGACACCAGCTTGAGTCCCAAAATTTTCTTCCTGCATTTACTGTAAAATAATCTGCATTCAGCGGACACCTCTGTTAAGTGGACGCAGACACCAATATTAAGCCATTTTGTTGCACAAAACCTGCTATAAGCGGACACTTCAAGGGCTTTTTACTTCTAAAAGCTCAGCTGAGACTCGTTTAACATTGTTCAGTGATGTCATTTTAAAGCAAAGTGATTATTCCATATTGATGCATTGATTGACTGGACATTGCACTGTGCTAGTCTTTGATTGTACACTGTGTTACAAAAGGGTTAATAAATAACTATTATTGCTCAACATATTGGAACCTGCTTAGAGCGGACACCCTGTATTAAGCGGACACTAGTGAGGGTCCCAAGGATGTCGGCTTAATACAGGTTTCACTGTAATGGCATATGGTATATTCGGTCAATAATTAATGGGATATATTGGATACTCAGAGCTCCCAACCCTAACTGGGCCTCTGTATTTAATTTCATATTTTATAGAATTATGAGTTAACACTTTTAGTTAGAGTCAGATATCTCTTCTTTTAGGCCTATCAAAGTTTGTCTTTGTTCGATTTGTCTAATTTCTGTAACTGTTGGTGGGTTAATCTGATGAGGTTATTCTTGTAAATCTACAAATGAAAGCTAACCCGAACCTTGATGAGTCTAACAGGAATGCTATTGGGCTACAAGTAGTGACTCGACTTTGTCTGGAACTCGTGAACTGGGCAGATCCCATCAAAAAAAATTTCTGTCTTCTAGTGGGTCATAGAAATACGATTGAAAGCTTGGGTACATGAGGCAGATGCAAGTGTTCCTATAGCTTTTTGTACGTTCTCCCAAACTTCTACTCACGTTTCAATAATTTGATAGAAACACAGAGAAAATGTTTTGTATTTCTTGTAAATTCTCTTTGATGATGCAATCATTCCATCAACAGCTCGTGCTACTTTTTGTTTCTATCAAGTTAGAATAGACAAGACCTTCAGAGTGCACTTTCTTACAGGGTGGTTTCTAAATTGTATTGTTATTAGGCTTACATTTTCATGGGATGTGTTTTGAAAATCACAATAAAGCTATTAAGAGGGTCACCTTTCTTGAGACGTTCAAAAACTCTCTCCCCAAATCTTGTTGCACCCATCCCCACCCCAAATAATTGTTGATGATGTGCAAAGCCCATGGGCTTATTTTCGGCAGATTACGATGTTAAAATTTGTTCTTTTGTAGGGTGGATGGATCTCATCAGGCAACCTCATTCGCACAGCACGTGTTGTTGGGGAGGTACACTCTGAACTGCAGTCACCCATATTTGAGGTGGGGTCTGAACTGGCAAAGATCGTGTTTAGTTGCTCTGTCACTTGTAACCTGACTGGAGTAGCGCCAAAAATGGCACGAGGCGAGCATTTAGCGAAGATCCAGGACTGCAACTTGATATTTCAAGTGTTGGATGTTAATGACACAGTTGTGGAACAAGTGAACTGTACACGCCCTAAAGGAAGCTATCAATTCAGACATTACACTAAACGAGATGGCCAAATCACGAATCATGTTCATACCTTGAAAGAGGGCAACTATTCCTTCAGGTACAAAATATCATTTAAAAATGTTTAACTTCAAAAACTATTGAGTCTCAATGGGAGAACACAGTTTCAACTTTATTGCTTGCTCCATTCTTCCACAGATGGGTTTTCCATCAAGAGGATGATTCACGAACGCTTTCAACAGCATTTGAGGCGAAGCTCTTCAATATAAGTGTTCTTGGGGTAACATCTGGAGAGGCTCAGAACTGCACAGCATGCCCAGCTGGGTACAACAGTACAGCAGATAATACTGACTGTACAATTTGTCCAAATGGAACAGCAAGTTCGCCTGGATCAGAGAAATGCACGCCATGTCCAGATGGCTACTTTGCGTCCCAGGTACAGCTCATATTGAATGAGAAGTGACTAGTTTGCACTTTGCTCACGTGCCGTGACTAATGATTTTGTCATACACGAGGTAGATTTGTACTTGCTGGAAGTAAGTTCGTAAGAGTAAAAAAAGCTAACGCAACTCAAAGGCCATGTTGAGACTGTGCCCGAGTACAATTCTTGCTGGGCACTAATGTGAACACACCTTTTTTCGAAGTAGTCACACCAGTTCTCGACCTTTAATTCGGGCACTAAACCAAAAATGGTATTTGGATACTTGGAGTACCAGTGTCTGAATGCAACACTATTTTGTGTCCAGGCGCCAGTGCTTGGGCAGGTGGGCACCAAGTGTGAACACAGCCAAGAAATAAGTCTTGACCCCCGAGGTTAGATTTCTTGGCAATTGTCTTACCATAGTAATCCCTTACCCCAACATAAATGCTAACATTTCACGATCTCTGTCTGCTTGAATGGAATGCTATGTTATGCCTTTCAATTGAAGTACTGCTTTTTGCCTAACCCAAGCTCTTGGTCAGCCAGCCCGTCGGTCAGTGGGTCCATCGATCGGTCCGTCGGTCGGTCGGTCTGTCGTGCAGTCAGTGCATTGGTCAGTCGGTCCGTCGGTCCTTTGGTCCGTCATTCGGTCAGTACATCAGCCAGTCGGTCCGTCAGTCGGTCAGTTAGTCAGTCAATCAGTCAGTCAATCAGTCAGTCAGTCAGTCAGTCGGTCAATAAGTCACTTGCTCGCTCACTCACTCACTCACTCAGTAAATAGTAAGTTGTTGTAATTTCCAGAAGGGAAGCGAGAAATGTCTTCAGTGCGGTAACAACACAAAGTCACTCCCAGGAAAAGATGGTTGCACCACTGGTGGATGTAGGTTTACTGCTGCCCCTGGTGTGGTGTATGACCTGAACATGCTGTCTCGTCCTTTTGGACCAATGATTGAAGTGGTATTAGATCAAGAACCCTATCGGGGTGGTTTACGAAGGTAAGGAACAGAATCCAAACCTGTCTTCTGTCATTCTCCAGCCGTCTCCTTCCCCCAATGATCGAAGAATAACAGTAGAAACCGCGTGTGAGAACCTAGTGGTTTAACAACCTGCTGATAGAAATTTGCCATTTTAATACCCAAAAATATAAGAACCTGTTTAGCCAAGCAAGGTCAAGCAGGTTCTTATATGCGGGTTACAGTTAAGTTATGATAAACATTTTAATCAAGGAGTGTGACTTTGAGCTTGCAAATTTATATTACAAGAAAATACATAATACAGTTTTAAATAAATACTGTATATTTAAGGATCAGATCCGAGTATACATATTTTTCTGGTATTTTTTTTCCGATATTCATAGCCTTAAAAAAAAAAAAGCCAACAGTTAGCAGTTAAGTGAAAGTCCAATAACCATGGTAACCACCTGTCTATCTGTGTTATCGTGTAACACCTCGTAGTTAGAACTTCCTGAAGTTGTAAGTAGTTAACATGTACGAGCAGAATGACTGACTGCCTACGATGGAATAGCCTAGAACAACAATGAGCTCATTGGCAGCCAGTAGGGGTTTAGGATTACTAAACGAAATATTAGATCACTTGTTTAGAGTCTAGCATAAGTACAGGTGTTTTGTAAATTGTTCTTCGGTTACGCCTCCGGTGGTGGGACACCAGATAGCACTATCCCGTATTGGGTTACATTCTGGTTATATCCTGGCTACGTTCTGAGTATGTTATTGGATTAAACCCTGCTGTTGGAGCCAAGTAACTGCGTATTCTCTGTCGTCCCGTTGGATTGTTTTGCTGTAATAGATTCCGAGTCTGACAAACGCCGTCGCTGCAAGCGTGTTTCCCTCTGGATTGTTGTAACAAGGATAACAACTTAAGCGGCTAAAAAAAACTTGTTATCACAATTCCCTTTCTGAACTTAGAAAGGAAATAAATGTTTTTTATTATCCCGTGCCATTTAGAGTAGAGTTGTTTCATTTTAGCCTGTCTGATGCCTAGTGATGGTGACATAAGTTTAGCTATTTACCCACCCCTCCCACAGATCCATGCCTAGTTGTCAATATCTAGAAAACATTCGTTGAAGGAGATTTTGTCCTTGATTTGTAGGCCCGGCATCTGGCCATACCAGCCTTCTCTTTATGTCAACCTTTGTACTCGTGATCATGATAACAGCTCGTGCACGTATCTGGATCGTGCCACTAGATTGAAGATTCCTCGGCCTGTGATGGCGTGCAGGTCCTCATGGTATTCACGTGACATAAGTGTGGGTAGTGTGATTGGTTACAGACCAAAAGAGGACATCAGATCTGGTTTGTTTGTGGATTTACTTCATGGAGACAAGTGCTACAGGGGTGGTAAGGGAAGCATACTTTGCTGAATTACTGTACCAATGCACTCGAGAAAGCACCGCGACGGTTATTAAGGTATCATGGTAGGTGGATTGACAGTGTTTGGAAATCGCGCTCTTACGCTGGCGCTTTGAAAGAAAACTCCATCAAACCTATACATTTTCTGAAAGCTTAATAGTTATGGAATACAATCATATCTTTGAAATTTTCTAAAAAGTTATTGTCGCAGTGATATTAAAAGAAATACCCAGAAACACTGCCTCGCTTAAACTGGTTCGCTTCCGTGCGTGAATTATCGGAGCGGCGCGATTTACATCGGAAATGTTTTCTCACGCATCACCCTCAAAAATCTTGTCTGCGATTTTCCAGATGTGGTTTGGTTTTTTTTCTACACCCTCCTAAACTTTGATATTTTTAACGCGGACGTTTCCTTCTACAAAAGAGGCCATAACTTTGAAACGGAAGCGAAATTAAACTAAGCCCGACACTTTTTTCCGAAGGAGGTATCCTAGAACATACCTACCGATTTTCAGCCAATTCCATCGGAAGACGCGCGTAAACGAACTAAAAATGTTCATTCTTATATGCAGTGTTATTTTATCGAGAAAAACACGAAAAACCTTTTATGAGATTTGCATGAATAGGTGTTAAAAATCTCCGCACTGACAGATGTCGGCATGAGTCAGTTTACCACCACAATGGGTTATGACAACTTGAAATAAACAGACGACTAATATTCTGGCGCGGAAACCCGCGTCGCAGTGAAGTCGTCTGATAATGGACAAACTACAAGTTGAACTGCCGTGATCTTTTACTTAAAAGATTTCGTCGGCGACATTGGTATTATGTTGCTTAAGTTTAGGCTCCTTCGTTCTCCAGACATTTTTTGAAACCATGCCTCGTGAAGCCAAGAAGCATGAAAAAGAGGAAATCTCGAGGTCTACATTGTCAACATCTATATTTGCGCTTGACTCTCTCGTTGTGGAAGTTTCGGAATCGCGTCCGTTCTACAACAATTTCGTGCGACTAGCACTTGTTGTATTTTGTCCTTTAGCTTCATT